GCTGGAGCCCCGGGCTCTTAAGCGCTTAAGCCCGGGGCTCCAGATTAGAACCGCCTCGAAGTGAAAACCGAAGCTGCAATTAGATGGTCTGGGATCCTCGGGGTAAGAAAAGCGTTGGGGGCCGATGCACATTCCGCTCTCGAGGGAGCCGGGCCTGTGCAGGCACCTCGGGGGCTCCAGCGCTTCGTGGGGCTGAAATCCCATGCGAGAGAGCTCCAGCCACCTCGAGCCTTGCGCCGTGGGGGCCGAAGTACTGGAAGTGGTTCATTAATATCCAACAGCGCTTGGTCTGAAGCACAGTGCAGCTGCGTGCTGCAGCACGGGGCTCTGAAACGATCGTTGGGTGCCGTGGCAACCAACCTCGGGCTTCACCCACACGTTACTTGAACCAGTGCACTCGAGGCAGGCTATTGGTACTCCTAACGTTGCTCAGAGCCATCGACAGAGGGCTGAGGCTGAGCATATAGCACCACCTTTGCAGGAAGGAAGCAGGTGCTAGAGCACCATCGGTGCTCAACCGGTTCCCTCGGAGGCAGAATCGTAACAGGAGGGGCTTGAGTGGTGGGGTGGGGTGGGGGTTGGGTTGGGGTGGCCACCTTGGGCTTCTCTCATCCATTGGGCCCAAGCACTCGAGAGGCATGCCGCAAGCACTCACGTCGCTTATAACCACGTCCGGCGGGGGCTTGCTTCCAGGGGTACTTCAGCCCCCGTTGCTCACTGACTATCCCCCAGTCTACAAGCACCAAGCAACAGAAAGGGGCTAGCTGCTCCCAGCTAGCCCCTTTCTGCGTGCCTAATTACCGAACACGGGGTTCTGAAGCACCTCGTGCGGTGCGGTTGTGTAGCAACCTCGGGCTTCGCTCGGTGGTAGGGGCTGCTACCCCTTCCGTTGCTCCGGCCAACCAACCAAACCACTCCAGAGCTTAAGCACCAACGGTGGTTAACCAGATTATTCCAAAAGCACAATTGCAACCCTTGTGCAAAAGAAAGGAAGGAAGAAAAGCAAAATCGTAACGGAATCGCTGGCCTGAAGCACCTCGGGCTTCTGTCTTCGGATCCGCTCGAGGCATGCTACCAACCCTCACCTCACCCCGAGAAATCATCAAGTGCTTCCGAAGCACATCGTGGCACGCAGAACGGAAGCACTCGCTGACGTCCGTCAATCTGTTTCTGGACTAGACGTTTCGCTCGGCAAGCAATTCGATGGCCGCAAGCCCCCAATTCTTGATTCGAGCTCGTGAAACTCCTTCGTGCCCCGAGTCGTGCGCTCGCTCGGCTCATTCGTGGAGTGGGGTTGTTATTCCTCGCTTTTCGCTGGCGCCTCGAGTGGTGCAAGCATCGCGCCGGAGTTCGACACAATTCCTGCCCCTTTTCGACGATGCCCATGAGCTCGCTCGATCACTGCCTTCTCAGCATGCCCAATCTGCAAAGGAATGTTCTTGCATCACGTAGCCCCTTCTCGACGTACACGGAGCAGCTCAGACCTTGAGAAGAAGAAGCTCTTCGGTGCAGCATGTAAGCCTCAGCTGTAGAGTCAACCCCAACAGCCAACAGACCAATAGCTAGCCCCATTTCTAGGACCGTGGGGGGTTCCTAGTTCTAACACAGGCCCAACAGAGTACGTCACCTCTCCAGCTGTTCTCCAGATGCTAGTGTAGCCTCGGAGGGCATCCTCTCGATGGACCTCCCAACCAACCCTCGAGACAACCTCGAGCCAACCTCTCTCGGCACAAGTGTTCAGTTAATAAATTACTATTTGATATCATGTTTCATTTGAGCGAAGCTCTCACGTTTCCACGTTTTCAGGGCATTCGAGTAGATGGGACAGAATTAAGCAATCTCGAATGGAGTATTTTAACATCAAGGTCAAAGTCTGTGATGGAGAACCAGATTACAGGTCACCCAATGATTGCAGTTAGTTCGAATCTCATTGCGCATGCTGGTTCAACCATTAATCTGCATGTCTGAGGTGTTTCATACTGATAGAATCCCACAGTTTCAGTGTGAGTTCAGCATGAGCATGACTCCAGATTCAGAGTGGTAGACAGTGCAGCAACTTTATTTGAGTCGATCGAAACCTCGGGCAAGAATTTTGCTTTCCCTTTGCCTTGCACCATGATTGATCAACTTCCAAGTAATATCTGGTGCTGCAATCATGGATTTGATCATGTTCAGTGTTGTCGAAGCAGTTGAGGCCAATTGTATTTAATCCCGTCCAGTGTATGACCTTATCCACATTGAGCGCTCGTGGAGGAAACTTATGTCAAAGTTGCAATTCGAAAGGAAATTCCTCAAGTCCAATGTGAACTCATTATAACCCTTGCAGGTTTAAGTGACTTGCAGAGAGGACTATGGTTATAGATACCGAACACGTGTTAATATTGCGCACGCTAGTCCGAAAGCTGTGATATTGCAATAGTTGCAATACAAAACCAGCTTCCTTCTCTTAAACCGAGCGCCGATTCCGCTCTGATCAGTCAGGTCAAGCTCAGTTACTTTCAAGCCATGCTCGGCTTGGATTGGCTCCACTTGACCAGCAGCGCATCAGAGAGGGAGTGCATCGGAAGTGAAAAGAGAAGGGAACGATGCCGGGAAGCCAGATTTACTGGAGTTTTGGTCGAGATAGTGAACTGAATGAGGAGTAGGTAGGTAAATGGGAGGGAGGTAAACAATGGCTTTACTGGTGTCAGATGGTACAGTGGGGAGATTTGCAGATCCAAGCTTCGAGCTCAGCTGTGACATCTTCCAAAGGATGTGCCAAAGTCGTCATGTGCAACAGGAGCAGCAGCGGCAGCAGAGGGGCTTGCAGTAAAGCTCTTTGGCTTGGCAGCAAAATTCACTCAGACCAGTGACCAGTCAATTGTGCTTCTGATGGTGCTGGTGTGGCCCTACTTGGCTCGGCATCAGGAGCTTGCTTTGTTTTCAATTCATTCTTTAGGTCCAGTTGACTCTGTCCTAATTCCACCACAACAGCAACAGCATCAGCAGAGCAGAGCAGAGCAGCTGTGGCGCAGAGCCCGGTCGGGGAGAGGACGGCCTTCTCTGATTTCCATGTGATATCGTTTCAGACAGCAGATCTGATTTCCGAATGCCACGACACTTGTGAACGGGAATGAGCTGGACGGCGACGTTCTTGGACGTCTTATTTGAGGGTCGAGACCAACAACTGAAAAAGCTACTGACGTTCTTGGACGTCAGTAGCTTTTTCAGTTGTTGGTCTCAAGCCCTCAAACAAGATTTTCTCAAGCGTCACAGACTCCAGAGCTGCTTGGACCGTCGAACATGATCTCGCCCTTTCTCTCCCACCCTCACTCTCGCTTACTTAGCCCTCAACTCTGTCGAGCTTTCGAACTTCACTTGCCCCACTTTCAGAAAAATTGAGGAAATGTTGGGAAAGCAGTGGTGCTCTTTATCCATGAAAACATTTGTTTTAATATGTCTTCTTCTTCCTTTATAGGTGCATTTTTTAGAGTAGAGTGATCACATCATTAGGCGGATTGTAGACCCTGAACCCTTCCTTCTCTTCTCCGTTGCCACCCATGGGCTTTTGATTGTGGATACGCATTAGAATGGTGCAAGATTCGGATGTCGAACACCCTCCAATTAGCAAGAACATAAGAAATTCTGCGAAGGGTCAGTAAAACCCAATCACACCGACATGGGATAGGAAGAGGTGTCCGTTTCATCTTCTCATATCCAGATGTTTCAGACAAAGATGGCATGCATTTTTAGCTGCCGAGGTTGAGAGCTTGAACACACACAAGCCAAGGTTGTTGTTTGTTTGGGGGTGGGGCTGGGAGTGGTGCACGAGTGATTGGAAGATTCCCAGTTGGTACGTGAGAGACTCGAGAGCTTGGAATTGGAAGTGAGCTGATGATTGAAAGCGAAGGCTAGACTTTTCGGAGCTGATCCAGGTGTCTGAAGGGATGCAGAGAAAGGTCATGGGTATGGATGGGCTGGGCTGGGCTCTAAAGGAGCCCAGCTCATCCATCCATCCCCATGGAAGGACATTCTCGTCAGCTACGAGCATCCAATGCAGACCTAGACTCGAAGTGTAGACTCCAAGTGATGGTGGTACCAGATATTTTTCGTGTTCTGCTGGCTTGACATTCGAACTTAATCTGTCGAGCAGTGCATTTGGAACTGTCTTGCTGGCCCATTCTGCTTGGAACCAATAGTAAGCCACATGTTGTCGTTCGAGTCTCCTCAAGTCAAGGTGTTTTTCAAAAGGCTAGCCTTCCCTTGCGAATGTTCTACACCGGACTTTTCTGGCCTGTCGGATCATCGGGAAAGACCAATTTCTTTGCACGAGGAGTGGCAACTTGTGAGATCAGTAGAGTTCGATCTGCTAAAGTTGGATTCGGTTTTGCCGTTCGGCCTGTCAGAGATGGTCGTTCTCTTATTTTGAACTGAGGTTCGTCCATTTAACAACACGCTTGCCTCCGTTTATGACAACCTTCTTGCGCTTTTATTGTTGAACTATACGACTCCATCACTGTCTCATCGACGAACGGGCTGGCCAAATGGTTTGACCTCTGTCTGCCTGTCTGTTCGTCTCTTCCTTTTGTCTTCCTCGTGTCTTTTGGTTTCTCACGTTACACTCGATCCAGCCCTCCCACTTTCCCGCATTCCATTCCGGTCAAAGCTTCTAATTAATGCCATTCTTCCGTTTTTTTAAGGCCCACGTCGAAGACGAGTCGGGGCTCGCACCTTGCTTTAATTACACGTTAATGTGTTCAGTGGTGTTGAAACTTCTTTCTTGTGGGACCTTGCGATTCGTCGATGGTGTTTGAGTCCGTGTCGTATTGTGATCTCTTCTGGGTGATCGTCTGTTTGGCTGCCTTTTGGGTTTTTTCCCTTCTGGGTTATGAAGCTTATTCACCCTCGAATAAGCATTCGAAAACTTCAAATCCGGGCATTTAAAGTTAGCGGATGAGAGAGCTCTGGTCCTTTATTCCTTAACGATTTTCTAATTGCAAAGCTTGATGTTCTCGGGCTAGGACGGGTTCTGAGGAGATCTCCTAGTCCCCATTGCAACATGTGTTCTTCTGTCAAGTATGCAGCTTACTGGCTATCATACCAAAGTTGATAGTTTCAAAAGGTGAAATCATGTAAGCCATGATCCATACTCAACCTGAGATCATAGACCGTGAGTCTCACGCAAAATTCAATTCCAACTTCTGCATGTCCATACTTCAAGGAAAGCGAGATGTTTCATTCTTACCCTGCGTTACTTGAATGGAGGATGGCAGGAGACAGCATAAGCTGCCCCAGGCAGATGACAGGATCAGCTCACCCAGAACTGACTACGGCGAGTCTAGGCCAAGGGGCCTACATTTAATGTGCCGAATGATGAGACGTACCTCCACAATCATCCTCGCTCGCAAAGCAAAGTTCCAAAGAAAGTTCTGCAGGTGCAGACCACTGCGGGTCCTGCACGTGTTGAACATTGCAGAACTGTTCCCGGTTCGAGGCTGCAGGAAATAGCGATCAGAAAAGCTTGGACCTTGTGGGCGTTGCCTTTGACTTGCCTTTTCATCTGCGAGTCAGTTGCAAGGAGCGATCTAGTGAACGAGTTAAAGAAAGTGGAAAGTTTTTAACTAGATCAACGAGCAAAAAAATGCAGCTGCGGGAAGAGAAGAATGAGGAGGAGGAGGAGGAGGTTCCTCTATTTTGACCCGGTCAAGCTGCAAGCTTGCAGGAGGGCAGGGCAGGCAGGCATCCAAATAACAAACTTTAGCAGTGTCTGGAAGCGTGCACGGAAGCAGTAGCAGTTCGTGACCGAGGAGGAGGGAGGAGGCGAAGCTCATTGTTGGTGTTGCTGCTGACATTCTGAGCTTAACGAACGAAGGCTTTGTTTTTGACGATGCGAACTTAGCTTAGATTAGCTTAGCACCGTGGCCACCTTAAAATACTGATTTAGAGCCATGGCTTAATTATCGGTATCCGACATGATCATGCATAGTAATTTCAGCTTTGTACAGATCCATAGTAAGTAATGTGGCCATGCATGTGATATTTACCTCTGCCATGGACTATTGCATGTCATTGCCTCGCTTGCAACTGTCACCTGAATATTTGTGCGGATTGACGATCCAATCCAGTGGCGAGTGAACTCAATGAAAGGACTTTTTGTTATTGTTTGCAGGAGCTGATACTCATTGGATACTGTGGCGTTTTTGCTCCACGGCCGGCCTCGAGTTGGTCGTAGAAAGTGTTCCATAATCTACTAATTAAACTAATGCTTGCTTATGATTGCTTAGCCATGCTGAAGAAGAACAAGCTCTTCTTGAAATCAGATAAGAAGATGAGAACGTACAGCGTGATCATGGTGGCGTGCATGCCAGCCTTGAACGACACAAGAATTTCTGCTGCTGCTACAAACGAGCCAGTTACAGTGGCTGTACTTTACGATGTGCAGCTTAGCTCCATCAGTAGGATGTGCATATGGCTGGACTTTCGATAGCTCGGGTTCGCGCATCTTGGGCCTTCCGAGACCAAGTAGAATAAATATACCTCGAATTGAACTTGCGCTGTTAACAAGTTTATTCTTTTGGAGCTTCTTTCCTTTTCTCGAGCCACACATTATCTCGGAGCTAATCGAGATCCAGCAGTAGCAGCAGCAGCAGCCTCTGCCTTGATACTGGAGTCCAGGATTAATAGCACCTCGAGGTCGGCCAATCTCTCAGAAGGACGATAACTTCAATCTGGACCGTTTCAACCGACTGACTCTGCGTCTGTCCGAAATTCCGCCAGATGAAAAAAATAATGGATCATGGAAACTCTCAAGGACTAGAATTCCTTCCTACGTACCCGGTGAAAGTCGACATCGTGTCACCCCTAACCATCGCTACCTTGACCTCTACAACCCATGGATGCTGGAAATACGAGAAGCCAGCAGCAGCAGAAGCATTAGGCACCAACGCCGTGTGGGTTCAGGGTTATTTGTGTTCACCTTCTGCTAACGTGCTCATGGATGCGCTCACGAAGGCCTCACGAGGTTCTTCTGACGGGTTGGCGTGTTTGACCAGCTCAGGATTAGCCTTACAAGCCAGATCTTATATCCCGAGACTCTGCGCAAGATTTGAGATTCTGTACCTGTTTTTCAGTCAATGATTAACCCCATCGGAGGGAATTATATGTGTGAATTTCTATCCTTCGTTTTTTTTTGTTGATAGGGTGAGCGGACATTCGAGTTGAAGGCAGCATGCTGTCAGTGCCAGTCCTTGGAGTTTTGTTCTTCATGAGGAGGCCGGACAACGACGAGCCGGTGTCATGATTGACGGGATGTGAGGAGTGTTGGACAAGGTGCACTCACGGTGAGACATGTTCCAACAAAAGCCTACAGCCGGCAGAACATACTGAAGCATGACGGATTTAAAACTCATGTTCTGTCGAGTCTGTGGAGATGCGGAGAATGTCAGATAGATATGGTAAAAATTGACGCAATTCTCGTAGTGGAACATGTTTCACCTACGCTGTAAAGCTTGAAGGTTTGGAAGTTGGAGATCGAGTGCTCGAATCTAAGCATGGATGAGTGCATGCTGTCTCAAACCACTACAAGTATTCGGAGCGGTCCAGGCGAATCCAAGGTCGATGTCATGTATATGGCTGCAGAGAGCGTTCTTATGGACCACCATGGCCTCGTGCAGGATGTCATCTAGTCGTCCGAGCACTCATTCGATGTGATCCACTCCAGAATTTGCACGGGCTTCAAAGTTACAGCTGTATGTCAATCAGAATCTTCATCATGAGCGCTAGCCTCTTTCATTCCCTGACAGCTTACAATTTATTTTGAGGTCTCGAATTGACTCCTTTCAGCTCCATTCACGACCTTGAAGGCAAACCCAAATTAGACCGAATGGTGACAAGAGTCTTACCTCATCTATAGGCCTACAGCTTGGACATGAATTCCAACGGTTTGGGAGAAGCTTGAGCTTTGAGCTTTGAGCTTTGAGCTTTGAGTGGACGGTCGGTCAAACAACATGGAAACCCATGGTTCTTTTTCTGTCAGAGAGAGAGGTAGCTCGAACGAGCAGCAAAGCTGAATCACCGTTGTTCACTTGGGTCATATTCTGAGCATAAGTTTGCAAAGATTCGAGGAGGAAAATCATGTGGTGAACGTGTGCTAGGGGTGGAACACATACTAATCAATCCAATCCAATTCCTCCGTTCTACGACCACGACTACTAAGAGAACCACATTGACCAGTCCACAGAGCCCTTTGCCCTCATCCCTCATCCCTCATCCCTAAGCCAGCAGACATGTTTCGTCTGCACCCTACACGTTTCAAGATCCGTGGCCAATTTCCTCTTTTTGAACCTGAACCAGTGCTGAGGTCGAACCATCTGACTGACTCCAGTGACTTAACGCACTGGGATGGGGGTGGGCCACTCGGCTAGCTCAGGCACTCACTCACTCACAGCCTGATACTGATAGACAGGTATCCAGGGGGCCCGAACAAACTTCATTGAGTGGTGCTGCTGCTGGGAAAGCGCTGAAGTCGTTATAGATAATATCTGTCTCGAATGTACATGAGGGCAATCTTTGCGTTGAAATCGAGCTCGAGGAGGTCCGTTGAGTGTAAATGTTGGAATCAAGGTCCCATTGGTCGTGTGAGGCAATTTTTACCGGGGGCTTCGAGCAGTGTGCGAGTTTACACCGCCACTGGGCCTGCTGTCACCATCAACGCTGATCTTTGAAAAAAGCTTACCCGCTGCTTAGTGAGACGCATCTCGAGTAGCTGCTAGAGCCAGCTTCGGGTGGTTGTCTAGATAGGGGAAGCACGATCGTCATTCTTTGTATGCACGAGCAGTCGCTGAGATAAGCCTGTGGACTGTTCAATCGCCTAGGCTCACCAACAAACTATACATTTCCGTCTCGGTGGGCCCGACAGGTCCAGATGCCTTGCCATGCCATGCCATGTCATGCCGGACTGAACCATGAGCTCTCGCTCGCCTTCATCTTGAACCAGGTGCACCAGACTGCCTTCCATCTCAAATCTACGACTCATAATTATCACGAAGCCTACAAAGCTTATGGGTACTGGCTTCCCCTCGATCTTCAAGTCCTGGATCGGGTGTGGTCAATAAGCAAGGAGTGCACGAACTGCAGCTGCAAATACTCCAGCTCCAGCAGCTGCTGCTGCAGCATATTGTTCTGCTACTACCGCTATCGTCCACTGGTACGTGGTAGTTGGTTTGATTTGGTGGGTTCGATGGCTCAATGGCCAAGTACAAACGAAGTCCTCCAGGACCTGCGGTTGAAGATTTCAGTCAGTCCGTCAGTCAGTCAGTAGTCTTCTTCTTCTTCTCCCATTACTACTATCAGCGGAGGGCAGTAGTTTGTACGTCCCACCGTAGTGTATGTAAGTATGTACGCGGTTAGAGAGTAGTCGAGCTTGAAAGGGGCCATGGCAGGATGTACGCTTACTAGTTACTCTTTCCTCTGCGTCACGCAAGTTCAGATACAGGGCCAGATTAGAGCGTGGAAGGATGAGTCGAAGACGGGAGCGGAGATGGGAGCAGATCAGAGCAGGGATGGTGGAGGGAAGAGGAGGGGAGGGGAGGGCCACTCGTTCATGAAAGCTGATGTACGTGCAGAGAGAGAGGGAGAAAGCCTCGAAGAATGTGGAGGGAGCATTTGGGAAGAAGTGAAGGAAGGGAGAAAGACGAGTGAAACTTGACCAGAGCAGGCAGCATGCGCCGCCTCCTGAGCTGCAGTGCCCCACCCAGCAGCCCAGTCGCGTCCCATGTCGTCCCACCAAAAGCTCCTTGTTCTGCACGTGGTGCTATTAGAAGACTAGACCTGACCGAGCCTGCCATCAGCGTGACCAACATTCTCAATCAGCGTGACGACTGCCCCAACAGAAGCTAACCGATCTAGCCCCAGTGCGATACCCAGTGAGTGAATACGAGAGCCAGCAAGTGTACACCATAAGCATCATCATCATCATCTTTCTGCACCCTTCATTCTCTCCCTCCTTCCCTTTCTCAAGACGGTGAGAAGATCAGACCCTTGGATATCTGAGTCCCAACCCTTCCTTCCTTCCTTGCCAATCTTCCACCTCCACACTAGCCTGCGCTTGCTTTCGCGTGCTCGATCTTGTCTGCCTTCTTGCTCGCCTGCTGTAGTAGGTTTGCATGGCATTGTCACGGCCCCAGCTCCTCCCCAGCTACTACAACTGCTGCACAAGCTAGCCGCCCCCACACTTCTCTCCTACCGGGAGTACATCTACACGTATGTCCGAGATCTGAGTCGTCGTCGACGACAACCGAATCTGCACCTGCAACGGCATTTGCCTCATGGGTTTCTAGGCCATTGACCAACAGCTGTAGTGGTGGTAGTGGTGGTAGTAGTAGCAGCGGCAGCAATTGGATCCGCATAACTGTTGGAGAGGAGGGAGATTTACGTGTACACTAGTGAGGAGGCCCTTGTAAATCTAGCCCGAACGCTTGCCCGGAGAGCCTGCCTGCGTGCCCATCTATCGTACGCATCTGCTTGAATCTTATCTACTACTCGTTGACGGGCCACGACGCGCAACAACAGCAACAACATCACCCGCTTGGCTGCTGAATTGGACCTCGGTTCAGATTGGATCGAGGGGTATATTTAATGCGGGCGTAATTCCTACTCGCGACAATTATTGGCAGCCGTGTCTTGCATCGGCTGCTGATGAGATCCATGTGCCGAGGGGGGGCGACAGAACTCTGTTACAGTACACAGTGGGTGTGAAACATGTCAAGCGCAGCTGACATCATGATGATTTCGACTGGAACACCATAAATCTAATCATCCTGTGTGAACAAGATCTACAATATTCATGTTCCCCAACAACCTTCCCAACCCCAAGTGTTGGGCGTTGTACGTACAATTTCAGGCCGATTTGTCCATCGTCCTTAATTGACTACTTCCCTGTCAACAATCTTCATCCTCAAGTAGAGGCTACGGGTTTCCGCTTCAGACAGTTATGATCAGTGTCTTCGCTTGGATCATGCACGTACCGGTACCCAAGCAGATTCAAGGTGCAGCAATTGTGCTGCTCTACGTCAATTCAAGCCTCCTCAATCTGCTTTTCTGTCCAGTTTTCTCACTTCTAACGGATTCTCAAGTCCTAGTCTAGATTCCTCCTGTGGTCGAAATCGCTGAAAATTAGCTTCTTTCAGGCTGATATTCCACGCCATTGCGGGATTAAATCGACGTCGGCCGGAGAGAAAAGGAGATGGAGAGAGAGAGAGAGGAGTTCATTCCGGATCATGGGCCGGACAGGCGGCTTTGGCATAGAGGAAACGATGAGAATTTGGGCTATGAGGACGGATCGAGAGGAGAAGTGCAGCCAGCGGTAAGCGATTGATTGTCCGTAGGGGGTCCGCAGCTAGCGAGTTGACTGCTGGTTTGACTCGTGCCCGATGAGACAGCTAGCGGAATCAGACGTCGCCAAATTTGGAGGGCAACTTGAAGAAGACAGACCCGAAGTGCCGCAATGCGTATTTTACATGCACGAGGTCAGTCGTCGGGGGCTAGTTGAGCCCTCGTCAGGGGCTGGGCCTGGCTGGGGCTACTATTGGGGCTACTGTTGGGGCAAGTAATCTGTGGCCCCTCGGACCTTGGAGTTTTGGCCCGGTTCTAGAAGCCCCGGCTAAAAACAGAGCAGGTACATCCCCCCTGCCCACCTTTCCCAGCCCCTTCCGTATCGGCCAGCCCCTCGTCTTGTGGGGCTCCAAGCCTAAGCCCAAGACGCCCCGGCTAACCCCCTTCCCTCTCTGGACTTGTGTTGCAGGTGGTCTGGACTAGTGGGTCCTGTAGGAAGCTGCTGGAATTCAGGAAACTCTAGATTAAGATGTCGAGCTAGTGTGACCGGGGAAGTGGGGGCTCGCGGGGAGCACCTTGGACAGTGTAAAGCCAGTACGCTCAAATCGGCCGGCAGGGGGGGAGGGGGAGAGTGGGGGAGGGCCATGCAGCATGGGGAATAATCGAGCTCCGAGCGAGCCTCTGATTGGATGCCGGGCCCGGGTTCAAAGCCACGATGAGTGGAGTGTTGAGGCCTCCGCACGGAGCGTAGCAGGGCCTTCAGACGGATGAAGAAGATATGCTCCGAGTGCCAGCCGGCATCCCCCACAGGAATCTCGGTCTCTGCTGTGAAGATTGCGCAGCCCGAGTCAGAGGATATGCTCGGCCCGACTGTGCAGCTCCCATGTCGCAGCTTGCCAGTGAGTGAGTGGGAAGAGAAACTGTGTTCCATGGAGTCGAGCCCGGGGATTCTCTCAGTTTCCGCCATCTTGCCTTGGCGACACACTGCGCTAACAGTGGCTCGATCCGCATGCGCCCCAACCACGCACGCAAGCAAGGCAGCAAGCAAGTTCGTTCGAAGTCAAGAGGTGTGTTGCAGTGCAGTGCAGGGGCAGCCCATCCCATCCCATCCCATTCCATTCCATCCCAAGTCCTTCCGTCCCTCCCTCGCTGAAGCAAAGAGACATGTCCAGAGCAAGAGTTGAAAGGTATAATGCCTGCGTTCAGAGCATGTGCTGCCAGCATATGCCGGGGTCCTGGGAGAGAGCAGATTCCGACGCAGCATATGCAGATGGGGATTCTCTCGTTGCGAAAGCGCAGCATGCAGGAGTGAAATCAGCTCTGCAGGCAGAATTCACCGGTGCCCGTATGTGCACGAATAAGCGACTGAGCACACATTCACAGACAGATAAGTCGACAGAAACAACAGAGGCCATGATGATGGAGGAGGAGGAGGAAGAGGAGGAAGAGGAGGAAGAGTCCCCACAGGATGGAGGCTGGGCACTGACTGCTGGCACACACGAGGTCAGCCCCGAGTCAAATCGTGTGCTACAATCAGATAGATCTTAAAATCACTTTCCCACAAAAGTCAGTTCCACAAGGCCTGGGCGACGAGGGGCCTGGCTGACTAGCTCGCAAGCTAGCTATCTAGGTCGACATGTGAATAATACTGCAAATAATGGATGGCTTCAGAGTTGTCATTTTACGATGGCTTCGTATTTACTTTGACGCGGACCCTGGTTTTTATCTGATCGGTTCCATAAAGCGAATTGCCACTTATCACACAAAACATTGTCTCTTCTTTTGAGATCTGGGCACGTTTTTTTTTTTGTGGGATCTTCCGGGCCATCATAATATACCCGAGGCATCGAGCCCATCATCCGAGCTGTGAGAAGAAGGAGATGCTGATCTTCCACATAAAAGAATGTTGCTCGACCGGCTCGTGTTTGCCAAACCGCTTTTTTGCTTAGTGCCTAGACCAGCCCCCACCCTCCCCTGCTAGACGAAGGGCCGTGTTCTGGAAGATTCAGATCGGTGGTAGCTTCATAGTGCTCTGAGAATCACAGGCTTTGGCTCCAATATGTTTTTCGACCACCAACTCTTTCTGATCTCTCTCTCTCTCTCGCTCCCTCCTCGTCTCTTACCTGTGACCGACCTATTCATGTCGTCGCCCTGCAAACTGCCATAATCTGCACCTCGTGCCCTCGCTGCTGGACCAACTTTCCTTCATGGACCCGTGCATCTTACGTGGAAGAACTTGGATTGGCATTTTTGGGGACGAGTGGTCCCCTTGCTCCGGAATGTATGAGAATGGAAACTAACCGTCCAGAGCCCAGGCTCTAGGCCCAGCAGCGGAGGGGCTGTCGAGGGCCATGATTACTCTCGGCTCGGTGGGTGTGAAGGGTGTGCAAGTACTTTTCTTTTGTCTTGGAAATCATGTGAATGACGCGGTACTCGTACTCAAGTCTCGATATATATTTTGCTTGTACCGCCCTCGAGTCACAAGCACGAAACTGAGGCCAAAATAACGTACCGTACCTTCGCACAGCCATAGCGTATGGGAGAGCTCGGGGACCGAACGGGGCCAAAAGTGATCATCATTACAATTGACATGCTCTGGATAGCTCCGACGAGCGGTAGCTCGCTACGAATGTACGTCGTTTATGTTCGCTGTCCCGTCCCTTCTCTTTACGATGTGGCCAAAGTTGCACTCAGCTCCTGGGGAAATCAAGGACACCAGTTGAGCCTCTCCCAAAAACTCTGGAGACATACAAGAAGATCCAGAGTGCTTGAGGATCTCTGTGCTGCTCGTGCGACCCTTGATGATGAGGAGAACGACGAGTTTCTGCTCCCTGTTTGATATTGGACCTTGTTCCGACCGGTATCTTCATTATTTTAGACCTTCAGATGTTCGTTTGTCTAAATGATCATCAAATAGTATTGTGCTCTCCTCACTCGAAACACATCTGCATAATGCATGTATACGTAGAAAACTTCTACAATACGTTTCTTGTCTGCACCTAATTTGCTAGCGAAAACAAGCAAGCAAGCAGCTGTGGGGTCGCTACTCAAGGTCCAGTGAGGGCAGAAGTGTTCTTCTTTCTGAGCTCAAGCACAAAGACTTCGACGCCACAAATTCGAAGGTTTTGGGCTCTGGCTTTTGCATACGGAAAACAAACCCGTTTGCAAACGAATTTGGCTTAGAGGATCGTCGAAACCAACAGATTACTCACAAAGTTCAATTTTTTGGTTTGTCCCAGGTCTCCTATGGATATTAATTATCGCAAGAAATCATGCACTTGAACCCCTTAGAAGAATCCTTCGTTACAATGTTGATTGAAGCTAAAGGTGTACATCGCACGTCCATCTTGTGCTGGTTGGCTCGATTGATGACCTCCAGTTTCGTATAAGGTTTGGGGACGGGAATTCTGAGGGAACCTGAACACCACGTAGGGCACCAACAATGGGAGGGAGGTGGTTTGTTCATGTGCAACCTCTTCAGGTCTCAAATTCAGTCCTGGATCAACTGATGGCGTACTAATATTTACGCAGAGGCATGTGTTTTCGGTGGTCCTTGGAGATTTTGAGACTTTGGTCCACACGTCTGCAAAAGTCAAAACAGGAAGAAGAAGAAGAAGAAGTGTTCAGATTTCCTAGCAAGACACGAGTGGGAAGACGGTCTAGCCCAACATCACCACCTGAGCACTTTAATGATCTCTGCAGGAGGCTTTATTCTGTAATTCTCAGACATTCTTTAAGTCCCCATTCTCAGCGATCTAGCCAAAAAAACTTTGACGGTTGATAGATCTTCTTGACCTCGACCGATTGGTGTGAGCTTGTCCCAGTCGCACCTACCGAACTGCCTTGCTGCGAAATCCAAATTTGCCGTCAAGATCCGATCTGAAATCCGGCAGATGTGTCCACAAAGGGCTAGCTCAAAACAGGCATATGGGACCCGACTGGGTCCACGCTTACTCCCACAACAGTCTCCCTGCCGGCAGTCATCAACCGCCTGGAGGAAAGATGTAGGAAGCAGCTGCAGTATCAGATCAAAAGATGGAACGGATGAAATGAGGCACGTAAAATCTCTCCCTCCCGTAGCTCTTGTTCTTCCACAATGCCCTTCGTCAACTTGGCAGCTTGGCCCCACGTTGGATCTACCTTCCTGGATTCAGCTCTACCGTCTTACTGTGGTCTCTCTCCGCGTGCTTGTGCCTGCACTTCTAACGGAACTGCATGTCTACAGGCTTGTGTCGAAATCCATCTATTCAAGCCTCAGCCCTTCCGTTGAAACGAAATGGAAGGGTCGCGGGCTGGGCATCTATGGAAGCTATGAAACGTAAGAACAAATGGAGGAGAAGAAAGGAACTTTCAATGAAATAGTGAGAGTAGAGCAGAGCGTGGTTTCTCACGTACACTGATACCTCATAAGCGAAGCGGTGTCATGTCTGGTAACAGATACTGTCTGCAGCAATCTACCATAGCTAGCCCGAGAATGAAGCTACAGTTCATAAGCTGGCGATATTATTAGTCCTTTAGATGCCGACCGACGTTAAATTTGAGCGAAAAGTATGAGTCCTAACCTCAGTCAGGTCTAGCTACAAGACTGCTAAGGTCCGAGTTCGAAGCTACCGTAGCTGCGAGGCTGTAGAATCCATCGATTTCACTGTAAACTGATAGGCGACATTCAAGGCCATGCCAGAATTAAGAATCTGGCTGTAGAAGATTGGGGACAATTCGATGGATACTGTGTCATACGGACGTATAATATTATAAGATTGTCCTTCCTGTGAACCAATAATGTCTAGTGCAGCTGATGAAATAGCAGCTTCAGGCCTACGCAGCTTCATATAGTATATAATAAAATAATATCCCACCATCATGCTCGTGGCAAAACAGGCTCCTGAGAGATATTTGCAGAAGGAAGATTTGAGGGCTCAGTATAAGACAAGGCATTCGATGCGTTCGAAGCAACCTTCTTTTCTTTTCTGTGGAGAAAGAAACTTTTATTTCCATGTCCATATTCGAAGATTGTTTTCATAGGTCACGAAGGTCGTATCGTATTTGTAGGTAGTATAGTAGTATACTGTCATTTGGGCGGCATACACAGGTCGAGCTCAAACCTTTTTGACACTTGCAAATAAAATTTACCTTCACAAACATCTTCAAACAATTATGGAATGAAACTGCAGCTCTATTAGGCAGACGGCGACGAGTGCGATGTATATGAAGAGTTTCAGATGATCATGCCCTTCAATTATCAAGCAAAATGATTCGATAGGGACTACGGATATTCTACAGATGAATCCCCGTTCAGAGTTTGTACGTCGGTGATCTATAACTGAGAGTGTAACAGGCTTACGAAGAATCTCCGTGACTACTCTTATCGTCTCCTTTCCAGCACGAATTGTGCAAAGCGATTATTATGACAAGTTTGGCTCAAGATGCTCCAGCCTTCCTCCATCCACAATCACAAGGCCGTACTGAAAATATACCATACATCCATGCAGTTGTTCTTGTCATCATCATGCCCCTTCGACAAAAAAGTGTGAGATCTGGAGCCCGGGGGCCGGAGGCTGCGATAACAAGATTCACAAAGTGCATTTCACTTGTTGAAAGCAAAAGCCCCCAAATCCAGCAACTTTAAAGCGAAGTAGGAGACTATTGACTTGATTCTGTGCAGATAGAAGCGATTGTTGTATGCCATGCATGGCATTGGATACAGCAGGCTCAAAGTATATTCACAACCACACCCCATAAAGTGGTTGATTTCGCCTGGAACCAGCAGCACACCAGCATCATGGCTGTGGCGAATCAGCTGTGGTTTGAGTTGTCAATCGATTTTGTTCACGAGTAGCCGTAGGCCTCGAGCTGCATTTGCTGCTGCTGTTGCAGCATTCTGCATCATCCTTCATCGCTGGCAGTACTAGCTCTACGACTCGTACTACACAAAGAGGTTCCAGGTGAATGAGCAATGTGCAGCTGCAGAGAATGATACGGCCAATCTATGCGGGGCTGATAATACACGATCTCGATCACTTGCATCTCGACAGGTTCTTTCACTGATGAAAACAACGGATACTGGTAATAAGATTCGGATGAGATTCACACTTGCACCTCTCAAGGCATGAGCGAATAAACGCAGGAGGAAAACAAGCCCTCGGCGATGGGAAAATTCTACCAAGACCAGCGAGACCATGGATGATGATGATGATGATGGATTGACTTTTGTCCTGGCAAGTGGTTTTCATCAGGATTTTCTAGCTCGCGGGGATATTGTAATGCGATCAAATGAAAGGCCTGGATTTGCAATATTGCTCGGGAATCTGCACCGGAATCGGACAGGCGAACACAGCTACCTTCCTACAGACACGTGGAAGTGTCAATTTTCTGCAGAGATGAGGCACTGACTCACTGGACTGTGCAGATATTCGACGAGTAGTACAGGGACGTCAGGACTTTGGGACACCGCTGCACACAAGTGGAGCACTTGCAACTGGACTGGACGCTCGAGTCTCCAGTGAATGAAGCTCCTCCGGTCCCGGGCAAACGACTATATTTATCGAATAATCATCGACCGGGACGAGAACGAGAACGACCACAGCGAGCGGGGTAAGATTACCCGCTCCCTTCCTAACTTCATCGTGACTACTAGCGTGATCACAGTCCCATGCCCAGGCGGCACCAATTGAGAAGGGCACAGAGATCTGGGAGCAGCTGCATCTGGCGAGTAGCGACA